TTTTTCCAACGATGGACAGTCCCGACTGAAACGTTTTGGTCTGGCGACCAATTTGGGCGTCACTTCTCCATTTACCGTGCAGGGTTCCATGTTGGGCGGATTCATTCCTATTTTTGACACCTAATTTTGGTTGACCCGGCGCCTGGAAATGGGAGCAGAAGGGATCCGAGCGGCAGAGGGCGCGGCAAGCGTCCAGCGCATGGCTGCCCTTGTCTACGCGGCTCGCGAAGCTGAGGACCTTCGATGCCCAGCAGGTCCTGAGGCTGCATTTTGCTCATGAAGGGGGCATTGAAGGAGGCCCGCAAAACCCAAACCACAGAATTCTCTACTCAGGTTTTAGGGGTTTGCAGCAACACCGTCCAAGCGGAAAACATCCCCTCCACCTCCCCCACCTCCCAAAAACATGCCCCCACCTCCACCTCCCGCCAAGCGTCCCGTCCCTTAGCTCCAGCGACAGGCGGTGGGTCAACACCGGGCCCTGACCGGCCGGCTGCCACTCGTAGTGCCCGAACACCGTGCAGCTGAGCGAGATCTTCCGGCGCACTCCCTTGCGCGCCGGTGAGTTACAAAGCGGACCACACACCTTAAGGGATGCCAACACCCCATTTGGCTTAACCAGGGTTCCTTTACCCCCCAAACTACCAATCCAAATTACACATTGAGGGGTGCCTGAACATCCGGGAAGACACAAAAACATGTGTTCAGAGTCGAGTGCTTTATTAGTTTTGCAGGCGACGCTGGTGGTTTGCCTTGGGGAATCCACAAGGAAAAGTCAACCACTGGGGCCTGAGTGCAACCTCGGGAAGCCCTTTTCTTGGCCCGGGGCTACACGGGAAAAAGAATCACCAGATTTTCAGATTCTACATGGGTATGTCTTTTTTTGAGGGTACCCTGTTTTGGAAAAGTGTTAAAAGCCAACCAAACGCCCTCATTTCATTGTGGGCCCACCAAAACAACACCCTCAAGTTGGAGGAGAGGCCCATCAACCACTTGGAGAGGTCGAAGCCCAACCTGGGATTGATATGGGAGGGATCCAATATATAAGCATCTGTCCATTTTAGGGAGAGCCTGGGGTGTCCCTTGATCAACAGGCAGACCTATTCAATCCGCCAACAGTGTACGGCCTAAAAAGCAGACATACGTCTCTTGGGCCAGGACCGAACTCGTGCGCTGGAAGACATGCACACGGCACAAATGACTGGTACCAATCTTACGCAGTCACGGCAACATTAGGAGCTTTTGTTGCCAGTTGATATGGGGAAACCCCAAACAAGAAAAGAACTTGCTCTACCGTGGATGACAAAAACATGTACGCCTCGTGGTTTACCAACCTTCCATTTGCTTAAGCCTCCTGGAAATATATATATATATATATATATATTTCCAGTAGTGATAGATTCCCTTTAAAATCAGCAAGGCGAAATTACAAATATTCTTAAGCAAATGGTTGCAACCAGTCTTCATAGGGTTTGCGCAGCCGTGGCATGGATTTGGTCCGTCTCAGATCGCTATGGCCCCGGCGGATTGTGAGTCCAAGGCCTTCACCAAGGAGTGCTCAGGCTGCAGCTGCAGAGTACCAGACTTCACATCCAAGCCAAAGATCTCGTGGCCTTGCAAGCTCTCTCGGACTGCGCAGACTTTGCATGCTGAATTCTTCGATATTTACTAATCCCCTCATATACAGGACCCCCCAATAAAAAACGATACTTGTCCAGACTCAAACCAATGCAGGTGCAGGAATACTGAATGTAGAATTGGTCAATTCAAATCCGATACTAAACTAGCGATTTAACCTTGTGACCCCAACTCGAGCCGTATTAGGGGTCCCCCCCAATCCTGTCCTTTCAGAAGCCCAAAACAACAGAACCCGAAAGGGCGAGTTTGATTGAATTCTCTATCCCAAAGCCTCCCGATTGATCTAGGGCCTCTCCGGGGTGTCTAATGGAGAGGTCGGGTTCTTCCATTGAAAGTTCAGCAGTGTCTGGGATTGAGAAATTGCCGTTTTGAACGACTTTTGGGCCCGGAACGGGGTCATTTGGACCAGCGAAGAGAACCGAAGAGGACAGACCGAACTCCGGCCTCCTAATAGAAACTTTCTCGGGGAACATATGCTTTGTATTTGGGGGGAAGGCTCCGTTCAATATCAGGGGGAAGGGATTGATGGGCACAAGGCCCACATCTTTGGAACTAAACAGCCGGTGCAATCACCAGACGGGGATGACCATAAGACTGCAATTCTTGCCAAAAAACCACGCACGCAATTGCGATTGTTCCTAGGTCCTCCAGTAGAGAGGTTAGAATAAAGGTGCCCTTGTTTTTGTAATCTATTTTAGTAGGGGTACCCTCCCCAAAAAAAGAAACGGTAAAAGGGCACTACTGGGAGACCTAGGTTCAGATCGACCTGACGGTTTCCATGTTTTGGTCCGTGCACCCTGGTACGTGGCCACCCCGGAGAGCTGGTCGAAGGCAAAGGAGTCGCCGGCACAGTCGGCGGAGAAGCCTGCGAGACCACGAAGCCGGAAGGTCAAAAGCTACCATCAAGGGAACCCCATCCTTAAGCTCAATCGATGCGGGCCCCGAAGCGACTTTGGGCAGGTGGTTTCGATTGGTTGCTGGTGCTCAATACGGAACGAGGGAATGAACGGAGGGGTTCCCTAGGGAATCCCAAAGGATCTTCAGGCCACAGAGTGTCAACAAGGCCTTTCTTTATAGAAAGTGAACCCCAAAGTTGGACAAACGAACAAGCGGGGATACGGAGGGAGCGGGGATATGGGGGGATTCCCTTGGCGCCATTTCCCATATCAAACTTAGTCAAGGTGCATTTAGGGGGAATATTCCCGTATCCTAGGTTCCCCCGGTATCCCTGCCAGTTGGTTTCCCTGACAAAGGATCTTCAGGCCACAGAGTGTCAACAAGGCCGATTTGACAAAGTGCTCGCAAGCAACCTCTTGTACTCAGCGAAGGGCCACACAATGGCATCCTTTGCAATGGCACATGCATTCCCAGCCCAGTAAGACACCAGGTAGGTCGGGACATGTCGCCCTTCTGTTCTCTTGACCAGTTGCCTTACGTAGCTTTTACGCATGAAAGGTTGGCTTATGTGCGAACATGTTTGATCTGTGTACATATTTGTATATGGCTGCTGTGGGTCAAAAATAGGTACCCCAAATGGAACCCTGGCACATGGAACCAAAGACTAGAACCTGCGGTCCCCGGGTGGCTTACTTCTGACCTACACCATATGCCCTGACCTTCAATGTTGAAGTTTAACTTTGACCTCCGAAAAGTAGATGTTTTACTCACAACTTCGGTGTTTAACTTGAAGCAGTACCAGCATGAGGCCGTTGCATATTTGGCCATGTCAATTCAGAGTTCGCCTCGACATCTTGTACGTTTGCACGCCAGCTGTGAACACTGTACATCAAACTCCGGCATGCCAGTAATGCATATCAGCTTGATACCATGTTTGCATGTGGCAAGCCGTCACATCAGCTTCTTCTGAAGTGAGAAATGTTTGTCACGAGTCCATAACAGCTTCAAAGCACTGCTGCACTGATGGATCGATTCGGATGTGATGGAGAACGCGGTCGAAAGGAGCCAGAGCCCCAGGTGATATTGACCGGCTGCTCTTGGATTGAAACCACGCACTCATGCTCACTTGCTGGAAGTCAAAGGCACGCATGTTTGTAGTGTCATTTTGATGCGGCGCCATGTAGCTTTCGGGGCATCAAGAGCATACGGATTTGTCCGTTTGGAAGGCAATGAAACCTCGAGCTCTCCGCGATCTGCATGAAGAAAGCCGTCAAAAAAAGTCAGAGCCCCAATGGAGTCCATGATGCTGTGACTGGACAAAACCCTGCTCGGTGATTTATCTTCTTTTGTGTTGTAGGGCTCCACCCATACTCCAACACGTGCGGGGTTGTGTCTATTCTTTATGTGCGTGCACGCACAAGTCAGAGAATTGATGAATCATCTCTGAGGGAAGCTTGAACTCAATCCAGATCTTGTGGCAGATCATGAAGATCAAGAAGGTGCGTTCCCCCTCAGCGACTGCCCTGCCATTCGGTTTCCTTCACTGGACGAGATGAGGGTAACCCATCGATGAATCATGGATTGTGCATCGACCCCTATTCCAATCAATTCAAATGTCCATGATCCATGATTTTGCGCACTTTGGACCCGTGTGGCTCAAATTCCAGACCGGGCAACTGGCAATGTGACAGCTAGCAGCACGGGCTTTTTCAAGACTTGCAATCGTGTTCTCAGCTCGCTGGCAGCAACCCGCCATGCCCACTGCAAAGCCTGACATGGTCAGGATCAGAATGTTGAAGGCAGAGCACGTTGCATTGATTGAGCTTGCTGGCACCACTTCGGCCAGGATTTCTACTGTGACTACCTGCACACAAATGATTTCCGTCAGGAGCAATTCCTTGACCTGGCCCACCAACATGGAATCCCAAAACAGAAGGCCAACCGCGCACTTGCAGACGGAAAGGTGCCTTTTGCATGTTTGCGCAAGTGGTCAATCTTATGAGGCCTGCCGCGCATGTGTGAGCTTGCAACCTGGCAGGCTCCTGTGAAGTTCAGCTTTTTGGACGTGCACCTGGTAAAAGGGCTGAACGAAGACGTTGCCCACTTGGCCTGCTTTTGCGTGGGTGTTAGATGGTGTGCGGTCACCCCTCAAAGTTCCTCGGCTTTCTTTGATGGTATCCTTTTTTTGGGATTAAAGCAAAGCCACAAATTGTGTTTACGCGCGTGTATTTGATGTCTAGCACCCATTCCCCCTTCATATGAGGAGATGTTCACACTCCATTAAAGCACATCATATTCACACTGGTTGAAAGTACGAATCTTGCAAGTATCAATGTGTCGAAATGTTGATGCCACTGGGAAAGAAGTAATTCCAATTTTTTGATCACCAAAGAAAAAACACATACCAGGCCTCCGGCCGCCCCGCCTGGCCAGATGTCATCCGACAAGAACACCCGCTTCGCAATGGCCTGGCTGCCGATATTTGCACTGGATCCTCCCACGGAGAGGGAGTGCAAGGCAAGTGTGGGCTTAGGATGGGTTCATTGTTTTTTCAGTCCCCGCGAGGAAGCGCTGTGCTGCATTGGCCGGGGTGAGAAGCTGATAGATCCGAGCTTGGCACAGTGGGAGGTTGAGGAGAGCTTTGCAACACGACATGTGAACTCAGCACTGCTCGATCAAAATAACATACACGTATATACTATTGGCACAACCTTGCTCTAGGAGTGGGCAACGACGGAAGGCAATTTGCACCGGTGCTTAATCAGCAAGATTCTGACAAGTCATGGCCGATCAAAAAGCGCAAGGCGCGGCTTCCAGTCATATTGAAAAAACTAAGTCGATCCACCCTACCTGGCCAGGAAAAAGGACTCCAACATGGCGAAGCTGAAGAAACTCGTGAGCTTGATCTATGACGGTCAGTTCTGCAGCTGGTGCCCTTGAGGACTCTGGGGTAGAGAAGCGCACCAAGTCCATACGAAAGCCCAAGCTCAAGGCGCGATCCAGCTGCCTTTGAAAAAACAAACTTGGTTTTAAGCCGACACCCAAGAGAATTACGATCCCTCGCATCAGGCTTCAGAAAGCACACTAAAGGAAACAGACAAAAAAGCACAGGAAGCAATTGCAGAAGAGATTGAGGAAATTCTGATTGAGGAGGAAGAAGAGGAGGAGGCAGCCACAGAAGATGAGGAGATAGAAGATGAGCATTTGCAGGAGGAGTTGAAGAACAACGCGCAAACCGGTGGCGAAGAAAAGCAGGAAGAAGCTCAGAAGGTCGACGAGGGGAGCGCAGCGGATACGAAGCAGCTTGAGGAGAAGAAAAGCAAAGACAGGAGCATTGCAGAAGCAAAGGAGCTTATAAAAGCGGAAGCCTGGAAGATCGAAGAGCTGAGAGAAGAGGAGAATAGAAAGATTGCAGAAGCAAGGGCAAGCATAAAAGAGGAATATAGGCGGCTCGAACAATTTAAGCTAGAGGAGCACAGAAAAATGGAAGAAACTAAAAAACAAGTTCAAGAGGAAGTAAGGAGGATGGCAGCGCACAGAGAAGCAGAGGAGCGAAGAATGATTGCAGCAGGGCAACAGGAGGCGGAAGCCAGAAAGACAGAGGAGCTGAAACACGAAGAGGAGAAAAGGATTGCAGCAGCCAAGAAAGAGGAGGAAGCCAGAAAGACCGAGGAGCTGAAACACGAAGAGGAGAAAAGGATTGCAGCAGCCAAGGAGGAGGAAGCCAGAAAGACCGAGGAGCTGAAACACGAAGAGGAGAAAAGGATCTCAGCAGCCAAGGAGGAGGAAGCCAGAAAGACCGAGGAGCTGAAGCGCGAAGAGCAAAAAAGGATTGCAGCAGCCAAGGAGGAGGAAGCCAGAAACACCGAGGAGCTGAAGCGCGAAGAGGAAAAAAGGATTGCAGCAGCCAAGGAGGAGGAAGCTAGAAAGACCGAGGAGCTGAAGGGCGAAGAGGAGAAAAGGATTGCAGGAGCCAAGGAGGAGGAAGCCAGAAAGACCGAGGAGCTGAAGCGTGAAGAGGAGAAAAGGATTGCAGCAGCAGCAGCCGAGGAGGAGGAAGCCAGAAAGACCGAGGAGCTGACGAACGAAGTGGAGAGAAGGATTGCAGCAGTCAAGAAAGAAGAGGAGGCGAGAAGGATTGCAGCAGCCAAGAAAGAGGAGGAAGCCAGAAAGTCCGAGGAGCTGAAGAACGAAGAGAAGAAAAGGATTGCAACAGCCAAGACAAAGGAGGAGAGAAGGATTGCAGCAGCCAAGAAACAGGAGGAAGCCAGAAAGACCGAGGAGCTGAAGAACGAAGAGGAGAGAAGGATTGCAGCAGCCAAGACAGATGAGGAGAGAAGGATTGCAGCAGCCAAGGAGGAGGCAGGCAGAAAGATCGAGGAGCTGAAGCACGAAGAGGAGAGAAGGATTGCAGCAGCCAAGACAGATGAGGAGAGAAGGATTGCAGCAGCCAAAGAGGAGGAAGCGAGCGCCAAGCAGCCAGACGAAGCCCCCCCGGACGAATTTGATGCACAAAGCGGAGACGAGAACTGTCAGCGCACTGCGTTGACAAAGGGCACTTTCCAGGACACCAAGCCCCTGGTCCCAGAAGTGCCTGGCCTCCTGTCTGTGCCGGAGGTCATTGAACACAAGGATGAGGAGATCCGCCAGCTGCTTGAGGCCTGGTGAGCTCAATTTGGGAAATGGGGGGTCAGGCGGTTTAGTACAGGACGGTACGTTGTTGAATAGGGTGAGTCCGTGGTATCCATGTTTGAAAATGCAAACAGTGTTTCACACCTTCGGACTGTCAGGGGCAGCGCTTGCTGCGACAAGATCTGCGAAAGAAGAAAGCAAATGAGGAAGCAGAAAACAGAGAGAATAAGAAGAAGAAGGCAGATGCAAGGGCTGCCAAGGCTGCCAAAAAAGCTTCAAAGGAGGCTGAGAACGAGGCTGATGAGGAGCTGTCTATGGAAGCAGCCTTGGACAACG